GAGAGAGCGATTCTCTACAGTGAATATAGATTTAAGTACTCATTTAAATGTAGTTGGACTGTACCGCACTACTTGCTTCTTATGGAAATGTTTGTGGAGAAAACCCCTTTGGCCACAAGTTCATCAGGCAGTGGTCAGCATGTAATGTCGTCAAGATCCTGCAGGGAAAGGAGAAGTTCAATCTTCTCAGGTGGTTCCCTAAGCAGACTGTCAAAATCATTTGATAGAATGGCCTATAGCTAAAACTTACAAGCAAGCACCAAGATGAAGCTTGGCTAGTAGTAAATGAGGCCTTTCCTTCAGATCCTTCCTACACACTCAGGGCCTCAACCCCTCCACAGGTTGTCCTTGAGGTGGCTATGTTGAGGTGAGACTGTTGTCCATCTCTTTCCGTGCTGTGCTTTTGCAAAGAAGGTCTGAAGAAAGATGGAATGGTTTCTGTTCATTCCAAGGAGGCCCTAATGTGAACTCTGTGCAGAATAGGCAATTCCCAGGGACAGACACTAGGGCAAACATCAACTGTGCCTGGAGAACCATCAGCTCGATGAAAGATTCTCTTTGGTCTGTCTGAAACTTTTTGGTCTTTCAGTGCAGTGCTATCCTCGACTGAATGTTGCAGACTGGCACATTCCAAGATCCAGGAATATGTGCTGAGGGACGGACTAAAGCTGGAACCAGCTGTCACAGAATGCAGTGCAGGCAGGTCACTGTCTAAGGCCATTCAGTCATAGTACTCTGGGGGGCTAGAAACTATAGACTTCCCTCAGGTTTAAAAGAATGTATAGTGTAAATCAATAGATTGAAAATATGTTGAGACATTACAATTTGTAATGGTTTGCTCTCAGGTTGTATACCCAACATAGAATTTATTTCGTAAATATGAAGACTATTACAACCATATTGAATGGAAATGCTGTGCAGGGACAAGTTGAATGTTCTTGCAATTTTTGTAATATTCATGTTGAAACGTTGATTTGTGCATTTGTACATATTTTATGCTTAAAGTATATTGTAAAGTATAAGTAAAGTATATAGGGAGAGAAAGAAGCATGTTACTGGACTCCCTGGTTTGTCTGATTATGGGTTCACAGTATGTCATTTGTAAGGACTACTGATCATTTATATTTTTATTTTTGTTTTATTTGAAACACAACTGGAAAATAAAAGTCTGAGTAGCTTCTTGCAGAGAATGAACCCATTTTTCTTATTCCAACTTAAAGGAAATGTTGAATGGCTTGGTCATTTTCATGTTATACAAAGGTATGTAACTTTTTATTGAGAAGCTAGATATGATTATTTTGTGAAAGTTGTTGGCATCAGGTGCTTTTCAGTTGAAACTAAAATAAACTATCCATCAATATCTTTTGGAATGGGTTTAAATAGCAATTTGTCACAAATAAGAGGAGAGACAGTTGTTGAACTATGACTTCCAAAAGGCTGCAAGCAAACAAGATCTCTCTCTTTCTCTCTGAGAGGAAAATAAATAACACTCAGAGACTTTGGAAACACAGAAATTTCTAACGCAAGTCAACTTGGATTCTTTATCAACAGAATTTATTCCTTTTTGCCTGTGTTTTCTATGCATATTTCTGCAAAGCAGGCATATCTGTCCGAGTTGTAAATGAATTATGTGTCTGTTTTGGATTTAAAGGGGATAGGGTTTAAGTTTGTATAGTAGTAATTAATAATTAATTTTGCCAGTTGTTAGCAGATGTTTGTTCTAGTAATTGTTTTTATATACATTGATAAAACCTGGAGTGAGTTTTTTTTTATCTTGGCAAGTGTCAGAGTCAGGCTTTAACCATCTTGGAGATTAAACTGGTCATATTTCTTATTTGTAAGAAGTTGTGGAACAGCGGAGCTTGACTTTCATCAGGATCCTGATCATGTGATGTTCTACTGTTAGCCCCGTTAATCTTGTGAACTAATAAAGGCTAAATGTTCAGATCATGGTTATCCACTTGCAAACCCTGTTACTGTGAATGACAGATTTGCTGGATGCTGCAGCAAATATCTGTGACTTATCCTTAGGAGATCGACCCTTGCTGACTTCTTAAAGGAAGAAAGTCAAGTACATGATAAAATATTTATTCATGTTTGTCATGATAATCACCACACTGACCTGTACTGGACAAATCCTAGAGCAAAGCCCTCATTCAGAATTTTCACTGGAAGTGAACGTGTGGTAATCACTGCAGCAGGGAGTTGATTTTGCAATTGGAACTTGGGTGAGAGTCATTAGCTCTCTATAAATGTTCACAGGTTTTGCTCTCACAGAGTATGGGAACACAAAGTGTGATGAGGCCTGAGTGCAACAAAGAACCAGTGCTAACTTGGCAATTGGGTATAGTGGGAGCTCAGTGCAGAGGGGAGACGAATGCTGCATTTTATATTTCTGTGTGCCTCCTTAAGCTGGTGTATGTTCAAGGCTATAATCAGGTGAGCAGCAAGGAGGTTGTTTCAGGAGTTTTTAAAATGCCATCCTTTCAAAAGCAGACAATTGTTTAAGGTAGTCCTGTGGCAAGAGATATTACATCAACTTTATAGCTTAATTGGTTACATTACGTTAAAACTACTGACAACGGTTGAGTGATACTTATGACCATTTTTGGCAGTACAAATTCAATGGTTCAAAGGGCATCTTCTGTACTGCGTGATTCTATACAACCTAAATACATACTTTCTTTTTAGCTTGTACCATATCACATGAGGTCACCACAATATTGGTCGATCACCTTGATGTCAACCAGCAGTTTGGATGTGACTGCTTGTTTTACGACTTGATGCCCTTCCTGCCACTAAACCCCACCTCCACCATTTGCCTGTGCTGGCTGACTGGGAATCTCTGCTACTCTTACCATTTGCCATTGGCCTATTGGAAGGATTTAGAGGTTGCTGTTTGGCAAGGTTGTGCACACATCTTCTTGGCCAACAAGTGATGAAGGGAGGGTCGAGTACTGGTAAGTGCATCAGGGTAGCGGAACGGGGTTCGGGGTTCGGAGTTCGGAGTTGGGAGTTGAGAGGTCCATTCAAAAGTCTAATAGCAGTGGGGAAGAAGCTATACTTGAATCTGTTCATACACGTATTTAAACTTCTTTATCTTCTGCCCAGTGGAAGAAGATGGAAAAGTGTATAACCAGGGTGGGAGGGGTCTTTAATTATGCTGGTTGCTTTCTGAGGAAGTGGTAAGTATAGATGGAGTCAATGGATGGAACGTTGGTTTGAATTGAATTGAATTAGCTTTATTGTCATCTCTACTCAATTGAGTACAGTGAAAAGTTTTATACATCAACACTTACAGCACCATATTAGGTATAAAGGTACAGCTTCTTTGATTACAAGATCCTAGAAAATAGAGAAATAAAATGTCTAGTGTTACAGAAATAAAAGTCCAGAACCTTCCAACCCATACCAAGCTGGCACCTAGCCTCCAGTTCGCACTGGGCCCTGGCTCCAAACTGCGCTGGGCTTCACCTTGAGGATCATGAGGCTGGGACACTGCTTTAGTGTCGCCTTAAGACTGGGAAACCATGCCGAGGCCAGGCCAGGCTGAGAGACTGCTATGCTTGGCCAAGAGGATGCCGCACTGGGGAGCTGCCCCACTACACTGGGAGGTTGCCATGGGATGCTGCCACGCCAGGCCAGGAGGTCGCCACAAGAGGCTGCTATGCTACACAGGGCCAGGAGGCCAGTACGCCAGGCCAGGAGATCATCACACCACGGCAGGAGGCCGATACTTGAGGCCGGGAGGTCGCCATACCAGGCTGCAATGCAGCCATGGCAGGCCCCTCGTCGTGTCTGCGCTGAGGCTGGGAGTCATTGTCGAAGGCTGGCTTTGCGTGATGGACTGGGCTATGTTCATGGAAGTGATCACGTAGTACAAATCTGGAAACTTAAAAAGCAATGGCAACGCAATAGTGCAGGATAATATTATGGATAATGATAACCAAAGTATCACAGGAAGGAACAGAGTGTACATATGTAAGACTGAACAAGTAAATAGGGTCAAAGGAAACACAAGTAAAAAGACAGAACTGAAGACTCTTTATCTGATATGTGTGCGGCATTTGTAAGACAGATGACTTAAAAGCTTACATAAAAACAAATCATTATGATAACATAGTTATTACAGAGATGTTAGTGACTTAAAATTTCTACCTCTGACTTTTTTAATGACAGAAAACGACCAAAAAAAATTAAATAAAAACTTCTGCAAGTATACACCTATTTATCTTTCCTGGGATGTGATTGCTACTGTCCGTCAATCATTAATTGCTATCACAGAATTCACGGACTGCAGAGAGAGCACCATCAAGTCTGCACCAACCCTCTGAACAGCCACCTGCCTAGACCCCTAGCCTATCCCTGTAACCCCAAATTTACCTCAGCTAATCCACACAGGCTACACATCCATGAACACTACAGACAATTTAGCATGGCCAATGCTCATCTTTAAACTTTGAAAGTAAACTGAAGCAGCTGGCAGACATAGGGAGAATGTGGAAACTCCACAAAGCGGAGGGGCAGAGGTGGGTTCATACTGAGAAGGAACTCGACTCCGGGTAAATTAGACCACAGACATGGAGCTGGGGTTGTGAGCCCAAGGGACCGTAAGCTATCAATATCCACCAGCCTTTTAGTTGTGGAGGAACACAGGAACTGGAGTAGGCAATTCAGCCCTTCGAGCCTGCTCCTCTATTCATTCAGGCCATAGCTAACCTGTGGCCTAACTCCGTATAACAGTCTTAGCCCCGTGTCATAATAGAGATAGTAAGGACTGCAGATGCTGGAGCTGGAAGAACACAGCTAGCCAGGCAGCATCCAACGAGCAGAAAAGCTGACGGTTCGGGACCCTTCAGAAAAATGGGTGACCTGGTTCAGTGGGGAGGGGGCGAGGTCAGTGGGGAGGGGCGGGGACAACGCGTGGAGGGCGGGGCCATTGGGAGCGGGGATTTTGACGCCCTATTGGAGACGTTCGGCGGGGTCACGGCTGGGGGAGGGCGGGGTCTTCAGTCGCGGCGGAGCGTGAGGCAATTTCCATGGTAACGGAAGCGGCGGTCACCTGACCAGCCGCCATGTTTAACATCAAATTGTTGCTGCTCGGACCCCGAGAGGTACTTTAAAGACGGGCATGGGAACTGGGGATGGAGGAATACGGGAGAAAGAGTGGATGAATGAAGAGGACAGTTTGTGAGAGAGAGAGAGAGCGCGCGATGGGGGGTGGAGAATGGAGAATGGAGACGCCAGCTCTGTAGAATGCACTGTCTGGGAATGTGGTAAAGACAGGTTGAATTGAGGTATTCAAGAGGGTGTTGGATGGTTATTATAATGGAGAGGTAATGGCCTAATGGTATTATCGCTAGACTATTCATTCAGATATCCTGATAATGTTCTCAGGACGCAGTTCGATACCTGCAATAGCAGATGGTGGATTTTAATTCAATAAATCTCGAATTAGGGACTCAGAGATAGTAGGAACTGTGTCCCCTCATTCCTGATCCTTTAAATGAGCTGGAACAAATTGTCCCCACCTACTCAATCCAGCCCCCTCATGTTTTTGTAAACTTCTATACACTCTCCACCCTCTCCAATCTATTCTCGTAATTGAAGTTCCTCGTGCCTGAAACCGTTCTTGTAAATCTCTTCTGCACCCTCTCCGATGAGTTCACGTCCTTCCTATAATGTGCCACCCAGAACTGTACACAGTACTCCAGCAGAGGTAAAACCAAGTCTTCTGCAAGTTCAGCGTCACTTCCTTGCTTTTATACTCCATGTCCGTATTAATAAAGCCCAGGATATTTCATGCTTTATTAACTGCTCACTCCACCTGTCCTGCCACTCCTAAATGATCTGTGCTCATATACATCAAAATCACACTAGTATTGCACCCCCTTTACAAATTGAACCCCTTATTTTGTATTACCTATCCACGATTTTCCAACCAAAATGCATTACTTCACACCTTTTTGCAGTGAACCTCACCTGTCATCTATTTGTCCTCTCCACCATGACCTTTTCTCTGTATTCTTTTGGAGTTCTATATTATCCTGCTGGTAAACTTGGAAGCATCTAAAACTAACATCTGAAAAATTAAAGTCGTCCCCTGCACAGAAAGGGGTTAAAGTGATGGTAATGCCATTGAATATCAAGGTAAAATGGTTACATTCTATCTTGTTGGAGATGGTCATTGCCTTGCATTTGGGTGGCATACATGTTACTTGCCACTTATCAGCCCAAGCCGTGAAATTGCCCATACACTACATCTGCTTATTCCCTGTTTCTTCACATATTTAAGGAATTCTACAGAATTAATAAAACAATTTCCCTTTGACAAACTATGTTGGCTCTGCTGGATCGTATTCTGATTTTCTAAATGGCAAAATTGTATAAGTGAGTGTGATGGAGTAAATTAATAGCTTTAAAAGTGTGGTCAGTGGAGGATCCCCAAAGGCTAAGTTGTTGGAGTTTTAAAACTCCAGTGTAAATTATTTGGGGTCTACTTCTTTTGCAAGGTGCCTGCAGAAGCTCAATGTAGACCCTAAGGAAGGAAAGCAGTGAAGCTATCTCCATGAGAAGATACTTTTTGCATTTGGGAGGTGACAGAAGTGGAGTAAGGTGAGATGCTCAGAGATAAACGTGCCAAAGGAGTAGGGACTCAAACTAGGGCGTAATTTGGTGACCAGAACTAGACCGTCACTGCAATGACCTTGATGGACAAACAGTTAAAGATGTAGCCAGGACAGGAGTGGGGGGGTTCATTAAGTGGAAAAGTATAGTCGGCCCTAAACCAGGTTTCTGTTAATACCATGTGCTACTGCAGTCATCCACAGTAACTTCTAGTCTGGTTGCTGTATACTTACACACCCTTGAATTTCTCAATTGCAGAGTGGAAAATCTGTTTTGGCAAATTTTCTGTCAGATGCAACTGAAGCCATTGGTGGTGATTACAGCCCAACACAAGGTGTCAGGTCTGTGAGTAATTTTGTTTAAAATGGCACTTCCTGTCTGACCATCTTTTATAAAAGCAGTTGCTGCGCTGATAGCAGATATTTACCATCTTATTACACATTTTGTTCTGAAAAGTCCACTGAGCCACAGGCACCTCCAGGCTGTTGAGGGTTTGCAGTTTATAACACAGGTGATTGGTTACTGAGATCAGGGATGGAGAGGAACAGAAAATCTCCTGCTTCAAGCTGCCATCTAATGGTCACCGCTGGAAATATCAATGTGGACACGGGTATCAGATATACACAGATTAGACATGCCTGTGATGACCATAATACTGTAAAGTGTGGAAGTGGTAACAAGATCATGGCTGATCTGATAATCCTCCACTTGTTTTCCCCATAACCCTTGATTCCCCTTACTGTTTAAAAATCTGTCTATTTCAGCCTTCAGCATGCTTAACAACCCAGCCTTCATAGTCTGCTGCTTTAAAGAATTGGATGGGGAGGACTTTGTTAAGTGTATACAAGAAAACTTTCTTATTCAATACGTGGACTTACCTACTAGAGAAGGAGCAATGCTTGACCTTCTGTTGGGAAATAAGGCAGGACTAGTGACTGAGGTGTCAGTGAGGGAGTACTTTGATCATACTTCTATTAGTTTTAAAATAGTTATGGAAAAAGATAGAACTGATCAAAAAGTTAAAGTTCTAAATTGGAGTAAGGCCAATTTTGATGGTATTGGACAGGAACTTTCAAAAGTTGATTGGGGGAGGCTATTCACAAGCAAAGGAACATTTGGGAATTGGGAGGCCTTTGAAAATGAGATAATAAGAGTTCAGAGATAGTATGTTCCTATTAGTGTGAAGGGCAGGGCTTGTAGTTGCAGGGAATGCTGAATGACTAGAGAAATTAAGAATCTGGTCAAGGAAAAGCAGGCATATGTAAGGTATAGACCGCTGGGATCGAGTGAATCCCTAGAGGAGTATAAGGGCAGTGGGAGTATACTTAAGAGGGACATCAGGAGGGCTAAAAGAGGACAAGAGATAGCCCTGGCAAATGGGGTTAAGGAGAATTCTATAAGTACATTAAAGTCAAAAGAGTAACCAGGGAGAGAATAAGGCCCCTTACAGATCAATGTGGCCATCTATGTGTGGAATCAGGAGATGGGTCAGATTCTAAATGAATATTTGGTGTCAGTATTTGCTGTGGAGAAGGATATGGAAGCTAGACAACATGGAGAAATAAAGAGTGATATCTTGAAAAGAGTTCATATTACAGAAGAGGAGGTGCTGAAGGTCTTAAAATGCATAAAGGTAGATAAATCCCCAGTACCTGATCAGGTTTTTTCCAGAACTTTGTGGGAATCTAGGGAAGAGATTGCTGGCCCCTAGCAGAGATAATTGTATCATCGATGGCCACGGGTGAGGTGCCAGAAGACTGGAGGTTGGCTAATGTGGTGCCATAATTTAAGCAGGATCTTGTTAAACTTGAGAGAGTACAGAAAAGATTTGCAAGGATTTTGCTGGGACTGGAGGGTTTGAATTATAGGGAGAGGCTAGATAGGCTGGGGCTTTTTTCCCTGGAGGGTCAGAGGCTGAAGGGTGACCTTCTAGAAGTTTATAAAATCATGAGGGGCATGGATAAGGTGAATAGCCAAGGTCTTTTTCTCACGGTGGGGGAATCCAAAAATGGAAGGCATAGATTTAGGGTGAGAGGGGAAAGATTTAAAAAAGACCTGGGGTAACTTTTTCTTAGAGGTTGTTAGAGGTTATGGAACGAGCTGTCAGAGGAAGTGGTGGAGGTGGGTACAATTACAACATTTAACAGGTATCTGGATATGAATATGAAGGATTTAGAGAGATATGGGCCAAATGCTGGCAAATGGGACCAGATCGGATTGGCATGTCTGGTCAGTGTGACAAGTTGGACCGAAGGGTCTGTTTCCGTGCTTTATGACTCTGACTTTATGACTCTAATTCCACAAATTCACTACCTTCTGAGAGAAGAAATTGCTTCTCATCTATTTCCTAACTGGGCAGACATAACTCTAATATTACACTCTCTGGACCCTCTTGGAGATGTTCAAAGAGGTTGGCACCTTCATGGATGCTGTTTTTCTAGTTTGAGTGATCTAGGACAAAGGAGTCCTATTGAATAATTGGTATTGAATATTGCTATTCCCCTCTGGCTCCACCCTGCTTTGATCCTCATTGCTGGTTTCACTCTTGCCTGTTGTGTTCTCACTAACTTAGTGCTGCTTTTACCCCCGCGGCTGGTCGCACTGACTTTTTCCTGCTGCTCCCCCACTGGTTCAGAATACTCTTCCAACAGAACATAAGAAACAGAGAAGGATCTCCTTTGCAAATGGCCTACCTCTTGCAATATGTAGAGAGGCAGAGGTTATGATCGCCATCAAGGAAGAGATTACAAAAAGTGCAGAAAATGTTCCCATATACATCAACAAACAACCTGACGAGCCTGCACCACCTTCTAAAACAATACAGGAGACAAACAACAATTATTTGCATATTCATATTCAAAGTGCATGTAATTTTTCAGTTGATGAGGCAATTAAGTTGCTTCGTACATGCTGCAGTTTCTAGTGAAACTATGGCAAGCACAGCAGCTTTGCAATTTTTACTTTTTGTATGCCTTTCTTGACCCGGCAGTTCAGCTGTTTTTGATTCCATGCTTTCCCTATTGGTGCACTTTGTATAGTTATGCTCCCAGTCTTATGAGGCAAATCGTTCTCCCTAATTTAGCTTGGGAGCTGTTTCTTCAGATTTGAGGCATTTTTTTTTCTTTTTATTTTAGATTCCCTTCTCCCTCTTACTTGGAAATAAGTCAATTATCTTCCCACTTGTTCTTTCAAATCCTGTTACTCGAATCAAACCCAGGTAATGTCATTGAAAGGCAATTTTAATGTGTTCACTGCTGACAACGATACGTATTTATTCCATCTGTGTGTGCTGATGGTGGGTCCTTGGCTCATTGACTGCCGATGGATGATTCATTCTGAGCTGTTTCTATTGGCAGCTTTTGTCAATAGTCGTTTGCCATTGCTTTCTACTCAATTTTGGGGGAGGGGGGAATGGAGAGGCCCCACGTCTACTTCAGGAACATGAATTTAACCCATACTATTGGCATTAATCTGAACTAGCTAACTGAGCTAACCTGCCTCAACTTGTATTTAGTTAGCACCTTTAATGCAGTGTAGCACCCCTTCGTGCAACAAAAGGTTGTTAGTCCTACAATAGTAACTGATTCTCTTGACTAACTGGTTTCAAACATCACTCTGGGTTTAGGGATGGGCAACAAATGTTGGCAACATCAACATACCACGAAAGAAGAAAATAAAGAACTAATTAATGTTTGCAATAAAACAGAAGAAATGAGGAAATATTAGTTCTGATGAATGTGTTATATGTATATCAACTGGCCTGTCCGCCTGAGATCATTTTGAATATCATAGTTTTATATATTTTAAGTTTTATGTAAGTTGAGTTTATTAATACTAAGCAAGTGATCTCATCTTCTAGGATTCTAGAGTATGAATGTCCAAATGTGATTGCCAATGGGAAAAATATTGGTTGCGAAGTGGAACTCTGGGACTGCTCTGGTGATCAGAAGTAAGTAGTATTTTTATCAAATGAGTGTCCACAAGCTTCAGGGGATTCAGAATTTCAAAGATTCAGAAGCTTTTGTGTAAAGAAGTTTCTCAGTCCCAAATCATCACCCCCCATATCCTGAGATTGTGTTCTCAATTCTCCAGCCTGGAGCGAAATAACCTCAACATGTCCACCCTATAAAATCCCTTCACAATCTTGCATGTTTGAATGAGATCAGCTCTCATTTTCCTAAGTTCCAGTTAACCAGTATGAGAGAGGGAGTTCTTGGGGGTGAGAATGGGAATTTGTTTCCAAAGGGACAGTTTTATGATTGGACAGAGTAAAGTCTGGAGGCATTAATCTGCTTTCAGTGAGAAGAATCAGGAATTGGTGTTTTGTTTGATTAGAGGGAAACATCATAGCTTGCAAAGTCAACACAGTATGGAGCAGGAGGAATACAGCAGGCCAGGCAGCATCAGCGGAACAGGAAAGTTGACATTTCGGGTCAGGACTCTTCTTTAGAATTTCTGACGAAATTCTCCTGGAGAAAGCAGTTAGTTTAGAAAAGTTAGGAAGTAGGTTATCTCACTTTTAGTTCCAGACCGCCAGTGTTTGGTTAGAACCTGAAGGGGTTATTTGAAACTGAGAGAGTCGAAACTCTGTTTTATGAATTTTTGAAGAAGAGGCTTACAGACTCCCAAGACTAGGAATTGAAAGCAGCCGTTATGTCAAACCTATAGATATGATTGAAAAGGAAAGGGCTGCTGTTAATAAATGGAATTTTTACTGTTTCAAAATCTTTCAAATTGTATTTCATGTAAATAGCTTGGTTTCTTCTATTTTATCTTTTTTTTGCATAATAAACACATGTTTTATTGTTAAAACCAGATATACAACATTTAGTGCTTGTGTTCCATTGAAAGATCACCTCATTAAATTAAAACCATTCGATCTATCAAGTCATATTTCAGTGTGCGGTCTAACGAGTCCAGTAATAACAACTGGGATCACTACATTTTATAGAATTACAAGAAGTTATGTCACCGTCGTAGCTGAACAATTCCATGCTAGTATTTATGTTCCGTTTGGCACTCGTCCCATCCTTCTTCCTTTCTCTCTGAAATGATTATCCAATATTAACTTACACCAGCCCTTACCTTTGCGGAGGTAAATGTCAGCACAGACTTGACAGGCTGAATGACCTGTTTGAGTCTGTATATTCCATGTAATTTATCAAACTGATGTGAGGCAATGAGAATGTGAATCAAATTCCATAAGCAGCTTCTTCAAAAATTCAGAAAATAAGATTGCTAATTGATTAATCTGTAACATTTCTACTGGAGATATATACTTGAATACTTAATAGATCTGACACATTGATAGTTTACATTCTGCATACATGCATGAGGTTGTACAGGACATTGGTGAGGCCACTTCTGGAATACTGTGTCCCGTTCTGGTTACCCAGTTATAGGAAGGATATTATTAAGCTGGAGAGGGTTCAGAAAGATTTACCAGTATGTTGTCAGGTATGACAGGTTTGAATTATAAAGAAAAGCTGGATAGGCCAGGACTTTTTTCACTGGAGCATAAGAGGTTGAGAGGTAACCTGATAGAATTTCATAAAATAATGAGAGATATAGATACAGTTCATAGTAGTTGTCTTTTCCCTAAGATGGGGGATTTCAAGGCGAGGAGGCACATTTTTAAGGTGAGAGGAGAGAGATTTAAAAAAGACACGAGGGGCAAATTTTTTATGCAGAAGGTGGTTCGCGTGTGTAGTGAATTTCCTGAGGAAGTCGTGGATGTGGGTGCAGTTACAATGTTAAAAGACATTTGGATAAGTACATAAATATGACAGGTTTGGAGGGATATGAGCCAGGAGAAGGTAGTTAGGACTAGTTTAGTTTGGGATTATGTTGGGCATGGACTGGTTGGACCCAAGGGTCTGTTTCCGTGCTCTGTGACTCTATGACTCTCCTGTTTACTATAAGCATAAAGCTAAATTTGTGAAGTTGTTCTTTTCCCCTCTGAAGGTTTGAGACTTGCTGGCCAGCTTTAATGAAGGATTCCAATGGAGTTGTCATTGTGTTTAACGTTGATGTGCCCAGCCACCTGAAGGAAATTGAGATGTTCTATTCCTCCTTTGTACAGCAGCCACGGTTACATGACTCTCAGTGTCTTCTGGTTGCTCACCATAAACCCAACTCAGCAACTGGCAAAGGACGGCCTAACCTGGGTAAGTGTGAAGGAATGACATTACTGTCGACAACAGCTAAATGGCCTGTTGCTGTCTAATCAACAATCAAACACCTCTGATATCAAATAGAACTTGTAGACAAAGACTCTTTCCTCTGCATGAAATTGGGAGAATCTTTATTGTTAAAGGTTTAGCGTGAAAAATCACATCATTTCTAGTTCCTCTTTTTTAAAAAAGGGCCAGATTGTCTGAGGAGTGCAATCACAGTCAGATTGCCCTGCTGCTCCTACGTTTTTGCATTAGGACAGAGCTCTGCATTTCTCACCAGCGACTCCAATCCCTGCTCCTTTAGCGGCACTCTGGCTGCAGCGGTGTGCAGAAACCCGGGGCACCTGAGTGTTTGAAGACTGAGGGATGGACTTTGTGTCTTTGTTTTTTCTGGCAGCGAGGACTTAGAGGAGGCAGGGGAATGATCAAGATGTTTCCTTTTCTTACAGCTGTTTCTTTTATTTATGCTTCTGTTTTTAACTCTGTCTTTTGTATAGTAAGTTGGCGCTGAACAACAGCAACTTTTCACTGTACTCCTCTATTCCTGTACTCGAGTTCACATGACAATAAAATCTAAATCTAGTGTATCTGAAACCTTGCAGTTTCCATGAAGTTCAGGATAGTAAGGGTGCAGCAAACCATTGTCATAGCAGTAGCTGCTGTATGCTGTGAATTAAATCACTTTAGACACTTCGGTTTCTGTGAAAGGGTGAGCATGTAGGTAAGTGTCGGGTAAGTGACAGTTGTTTAAGGGGTTAGGGTGCCAGGCAAATGAATGAGCGCTTAGGGTAGGTTGGGGTGGGGGGGTGGTTTGGCAGAATTCGGTGGGGGTGATGGAGACCACTCGGGATTTTGAAATTCATAAATTCATAAGATATGGGGGCAGAATCAGGCCATTCGGCCCATCGAAGTCTGCTCTGCCATTCAATCATGGCTGATATGCTCCTCACCCCCATCTTTATGAAACATCTTTATATAATCTCTGCAACTTTCTCATAAACAATGGGAAACATTTCAGAAAAAAATCCAAAATTTTCAACAGAAGAATACTCTATTGCAAAACAAATGCTCCAAGAAAGATTGGTCTGTTATTTATTATGGAGAAAAGTCTTTCTAATATGAAAGATAGTCTCTTTTGAAAGTGCTAGAGAAACTCAGCAGATCTGGCTGCATCATCAAAATAGAAACAGTGTTAATGGTTTGAGTCCAATATGTCTTTTAAAATTTCTGCAGTTCTGAAGAAGAGTCATTTTAGAAATTAGGGATAAATGGGCATTTTCGCATTGTCAGCCTGTAACTTGTGGGATGCCACAAGGATTGATGCTGGAGCCGCAGCTATTTACAATCTATGTTGGTGCTATAAATAAATTACTCTCTGTTTCTTTGACTTATTCTGCTGACTATACAAATCTAGGTGGGAATACTGGTTGTGAAGAGGACACAGGCTACAAAGAGATATGGAGAGGTTAAGTGAATGGAAAACAATGTGGCAGATTGAGAACAATACGCGAAAGTGTGAGGTTATTCACTTTGCTAGTAATAATAACATTGTATTTCTGAAAATGTGTAAAACCTGTAAATGCTGATTGTAGATGTGTAAGTGTGTATGGGATACAGAGTTAGCATGAAGAGACAACTAGCAGTGACGAAGGCAAATTGCATTTTGGTATTCATTGTAATGATATTGATGTTGCCAATTGGCTATTCCTCAATATCTGCTCAAAGATGAAAGTTTTGCAGTGTGTTTTCATGTGACTCTTAACAGACCAATTCTCATCCCACATATCTAAGGAAACATCAGGCAGGACATCCTATGAGGAAGTGGAATCTAGGATTCCCTTTTCTTTGCTTCCTTGTTGACAAGTTCAACAACATCAGCAAGGATAGCTTACTGAAACAGCTAGGTTTATGCCTCACACGCACTTCATGTTCAACGGACAGATGTACAAATAAATCTACGGCACACCGATGGGATCCCCCATCTTAGGTCTCATTGCGGAGGCAGTGATGCAGCGATTGGAACACATAGTCCTTTCTATAATTCAACTGAAAATTTGGGTAAGATACATGGACAATACATTTGTAATAATCAAACACACAAAATTAGAAGAAACCCACCAACTTGTCAACAACATCTTTGTAAACATAAATTTCACTAAACAGCAAGAAAACAACAAATAGCTCCCATTCTTAGACATAATGGTAGAGAGACTGACTAATGGCAAATTCCGGACCTGAGCAAACAGGAAGGCCACACACACCTGGACCAAATCCTTAACTTCAATAGCAACCACCCCACCATACACAAACAGAGCTGCTTTAAGGCACTATTTAAATAAGCCGCATCACATTGCAACACCCCAGAACTCTGGGGAATGGAAGAGGAACACCTGCAGAAAGTTTTCACTGAATACGGATACCCAAAAAGTTTCATCTGCAGATGTCTACAAAACAAATGACAGTTAGAGGACATGATACAAAAGAAGACACTAGCATTGCTACCCTACATCAAAAATATATCAGAAATGACTACCAGACTCCTAAGACCACATAAAATCATGATTGCACACAAATCTACAGCAACACTATGCCAAATGTTATCAAAGACTATAAACCCAATACCAACAGTAAACAAGACCAACGTGATATACAGAATACCATGCAGTGAGTGCAATAAACATTACATTGGACAAACAGGGAGGAAACTGATGACCAGGATACACAAACACCAGCTGGCATTAAAAAGACACGACCAATATTTACTTGTCTCAATACACAGAGACAGTAAGAGCCATCAGTTCGACTGGGACAAAGTGACCATATTGGGACAAGCGAACACCTGACATTGCAAGGGAATTTCTGGAAGCCTGGTTCTTGACACGGGACTCCATTAACAAACACATAGAAACAGACCCCACATACAGATCGCTACTAAAACAATAGAACTGAAAGCGACAAGACCATTACACCAAAGGATTATATAAATCCGGAAGGAAGCAGAACACTAACGCTTAGATTAGAGGTCGCACTGATGATGTTGCCTAGAAGGGTAACGAAATGTCTGCATACCACGGAACAACCGGCTCAGCAAGCTAACAAACAACTGCATCTACAACCTGAGCTACAACTTTTTACTAAGACCTTAAAAACATCCACAATAGCACAAGCCAAACAGAGACATGCCAGGGAATTCCTGGAGGCCTGGCATTCCAACAGGAACTCCATCAAGAAACACATTGAAGTGGACCTGATTTACAAACTAATGTAAAACAGAACTGGAAGTGATGCCAACCATCCCAGCAAACCGAAGCATATAAATAACAAGTGGGACAGAACACCAACGCATCACTGGAGGTGCACTGATGATGTTACCTAGCATGGTGATGAAACATCTGCACTCAGACACACTGGCTCAGCGAGCAAGTCTACAACCTCATCCACAACACAAGCTACAAATCTTTTCAAAAACCTTAAACTGTGTTCCCTGGTTCTGGACTCCCCAGTCATCACATACATCCTTCCTGTATTTATCTTGTCTAGTCCTGTTAGAAATTTATAGGTTTCTGTAAGATCTCACCCACCTCATTCATCTAAACTCCAGCAAATATAGTCCTAACTGATCTAGTCTCTCCCCATATATCAGTCCTATTGTCCCAGGACTCAGTCTGGTAAACCTTCATTGCATTCTTCCATGAACATCCTTCCTCTGATAAGGACACCAAAACTGTATCCAGTACTTCAGGTGTGGTTTCTCCAAGACCATATCCCTGCTCCTATACTTGAATCTTCTCACTATGAAGGCCAACATGCCATTTGCCTTCTTCACTGCCCGCAGTATCTATATGCTTATTTACAGCGGTGTACAAGGACTCCCAGGTATCATTGCACCTCCCCCCTTTTCCCAATCTATTGCCATTAAGATAGTAATCTGCCTCTCTGTTTTCACTACCTTGGTATCTGTAATAAGCACGTTATGCTTCATCTGCCATACACTTGTCCACTCTCTTAGCTTTTCCAAATCACACTGAAGCATTTCTACATCCTCCTCACAGTACACCCTTCCTCCCAATTTTGTGTCATCTGCAAACTATTACCTTTAGTTCTCTCATCTAAATCATTAATATATACTGCGAATATCTGGGCTCTAAGCACTGATCTCTGTGATACCCCACTGATCACTGGCAGCCACTTGGGGAAACAAAAACATTTATTTGTTCACTTTGTCTGCCAACCTCTTCCTTATCCATATCAGTACAATATCCCCAATCCCAAGTGCTTTATTTTACATGCTAGTCTGTTATGTGGGACCTTCTCAAAAGCCCTTCTGTAAGTCCAAATAAACAAGATCCACTGGCTTACACTTATCATCTCTACAATGTCCATCCTCAAAATTCCAGTAGATTTGTCAAGCATTATTTCCTTGTTGGAAATGCATGCTGACTCTGTTGGATCCTGTCACTGTATTTTAAGTGCTCTGTTATTAAATCTTTTACAATGGTCTAGCATTTTACCCATTACCGATGTTAGTCTAACTGGTCTATAATTTCATGTTTTCTCTTTACCTCCTTTTTTAAATAGTGAAGTTACATTAGCTCCCTCCAATCTGCAGCAACTGTTCCAGAGTCTATAGAATTTTGGAAATATATTGCTATTCCTTTGGTGTCATTGGGTCAAAAACCTGTTAACATCCTCACTAATAACATTGTGGGGGCATGTAAACCACATGGTCTGCAGTGGTTGAAGAAGGCAGCTCACAACCACCTTCTCAAAGGGCAACTAGGGATAAATGCTGGCCCAGGGACTGATGTCTACATCCTGTGATCATACTGTCTCTTTAAAAAGATTATTTTGTCCTGGGTGTTTTTGAAGAGAGGTTGTAAAGGTAGAGGTTTCAAAGTGGCAACTGGAGACGGCCCAAGTCAATAGGTTAGGAGGTCTTTAGGATTTTTTTAATGATTGTAACAATGGAAGGGGAGTGGACAGTTCTCTCA